CGCCATTTCTGCCTTTTGGCCGTACGTTCACTTTTAGTATGGTTTCCACGCAATCCTTTATAAATGAGACCCCTGGAACACACATGTGACAGTTTCCTTATTCTTGAGATGTTGAAATATATGTTGAAAAAAATCTCTCTCAGTGAAAAGTTGACTACAATCACAAGAGGGGCATTTGAATCGTGTCAAGTCTTTGGTAACCGTTTGTTGGACAGGATGATTTCTTGATAAATGGCTCAGCAAAGCATTCCAGGTCTTGAATCTACATGCACAACTTAAATAAGTACAAGGATATGAATGGCCCTGTCCGTAATGCTTGTGATTTAGTTTGTAGTGCTTGAGCAACTCAGATCTTCTGGAAAACACACTATCGCAGTCTTTGCATCTCCACATAAAGTGCAACACTTAAAGGACAACAGAGGGACAGTGTTACATGTTCATGCATCTGAATCCATCCTATAAAAAGGAGTATGAAAAAGCCTTCAGGTTGGATGAGGATAAATTTACAATACCGAGGTGGTGTAAGAAGTCCAAGGTAGTGTGGCACCGTGAGGAGAGGCCCAAGGTGGTGTAAGAAGAAGCCAAAGATGGTGTGAGGAGAGACTGGAGGCGCCGTGAGGAGAGGCCCAAAGTGGTGTTAGGAGACACCTGTGGCGTGAAGGGAGGCCAGAGGTGACGTCAGGAGAGACCTATGGTGGCGTGAGGAAAGGTCTGGTGCTGTGAGGAGACTTGCAGTGGAGTGAGGCGAGGCCTGAGGTGCTGTGAGGAGACTTGCAGTGAGGCGAGGCCTGAGGTGCTGTGAGGAGACTTGCAGTGAGGCGAGGCCTGAGGTGCTGTGAGGAGACTTGCAGTGAGGCGAGGCGAGGCCTGAGGTGCTGTGAGGAGACTTGCAGTGGAGTGAGGCGAGGCCTGAGGTGCTGTGAGGAGACTTGCAGTGAGGCGAGGCCTGAGGTGCTGTGAGGAGACTTGCAGTGGAGTGAGGCGAGGCCTGAGGTGCTGTGAGGAGAAGCAAAAGGTGGTGTGAAGAGA